GTTACCGTAAATTGGCTTACCGCAAATTGGTACGTAAATCGTAATAGTAGTAGTAATTAATTATTTTCGGCAAGTATAATTATTTTTAAAAGAGTGATGACAGCATTCTTGCTAGACCATAGCCTCTTCAACTTTAGAATTATTTTTTTTCTCTTGTGCTACCTCAATTTAGTACATCTAGGCTACACCCAACACAACCCCCACCCACCCCACCACCCAACCCACCAGACAAAGAAAAAAACAAAGGATGAATGAAATAAATATTATTATAGATTCATTACTTAGTCTCTGGGTGTGTGTTTCTTTTTTTAAATAAAGTATGCCTACAACGGATACAAACAAGGCCTACTAAAAGCCACGTACAGTACGCACACATGGTTTCACTAACACTACACAATGTGTACGCGTACCTGGTTTATCCAAAACAAACAACTCACATGACCTAACATCGTCCTCATAAAACAAAATTAAGCCTACAACTTGATGGTGTTGGCATTACTATTTTTGTTTTTTACTGAGAATCAAACATACACCAACGACTTTAATGTAGTATTATTATGAACAAAGATGCGATGAAACACGTAATACATACCTGTTTTATCTAAAAAACATGAAAAATAACGGTTATTTGCATCAAATTTCGACGCGCCGGTTCATAAATGAGGGAGTACTAGTTATTTTATATCTTCGAAACCACAGTGGGGGAGGGTCGCCATTTCCTGCCCCGCCACTTCCTTCTCAAATCTCCTACATGGGATGCAATCATGTTTTACACGCTTTACTAGTTGCCTCAATCTAATCATCCAGTAGTGTTCTCTTACTTTTGCAACTGTTGCTGATATTCCTGTATGTCCTTTAGCGTATACGTTTTCAACTATCAATCTGGTAACAGGATGATCACATGGCAACAACGGCACAGTTTCATGATTCTAACTAAAATGTACGTGGTTCTTGATTCTATCGCCTACTACTATAACCTCGACTTCTCTCAGTCTGAGGCCCAATGTGGCATACTTTTTTGTCAAATAATTCTGACTTATTTTCTCTTAGTAGTGTTAACATGGGGCTTTGAAGCTCTTTAACCCACAAACACTCTGCTTTCTTCAAATCATCTACTGACAGGTTTTCCACCAACGCTTTTAAGCTTCTTCTACTGACTTATTTTCTCTTAGTAGTGTTAACATGGGGCTTTGAAGCTTTTTAACCCATAAACACTCTGCTTTCTTCAAATCATCTACTGACAGGTTTTCCACCAACGCTTTCAAGCTTCTTCTACTGCATGCCTTTATAACTCTTGCAGCAAATTTTGATTCCTAGGTGGCGGGAAATGAGCTTTCCCGACTTCTGTGGTGTCTTTTAATGACTTTTAAATTCTTCAAAATTCAAGGTCCCCCCCTTGAAAATGATTCAATTAATCAATGAACTCCAAAGATAAAGGGGGTCCGGGTTCCCCCGGAAAAAAAAATTTGATTTCTAGATGGCGGATGAGCTTTCCTGACTTCTGAAATGTCTTTTAATGACTTTTAAAGCTCTTCAAAATTCAAGGTTTTCCCCTCTTGAAATAGGTCAGGTAAATCTTTCTCATTTTTTTATTTTATGTGTGTATACATACATAAACAAATGAGTAGTTGCATGCGTATTCTTTTTTCCATGAATCGATAAATCCCAAAAAGCAAGGGTGGTTTGATTCCTAGATGGCGGGAATTGAGCTTCCCCGATATTTAAAGTGTGTTTTAATGAATTTTAAATTCTTCAAAATTCGAATTTTCTAATAGCCAAAAAAAAAAAA